CCCCAAAACCCCAAAACCCCAAAACCCCAAAACCCCAAAACCCCAAAACCCCACATGGCAAACTTTCTATTGGATATATAAAAAGGAATCAAAAATGGAAACAAAAGGAAAACAACAAAAATGCCCTATTAGAAGTCAATACGAATCAGAACTTCCTCTACTAGAGGAGAAAGGTATCAAATTCTTCTCTATAGTAGCCTTGTTTATTTACATTACTTCATCTTCTGGCTAACCCAATCTTTTAAGATAGTGAATAACTTCTAAATTAGCTTTTGTACACACTTTTGGCTATATATAATCCCTCTGACTTTACCATCCTAATACTCCCACCCCTTCTTTTCCTTCCCTCAAACACCCAAACCTCCCTACCCTCCTCCTTAACCCCTCCCCTGTTCCCCTCTACACATCCTTCCTCCGCTAGTTTCCAACAATCAGCAGCTGATCCTTATCACTACAAGCTTATCAAAGAAATGGGAAGGGCGACAAAGGGGGGAGGAACAAAGGGAAGGAGGGGTTAGGAGAGAAGTGGGATAGTGCGTTTTGGGGTGGGTATAAGGGGAGCAGAGGGTCTCATTGGGGTGTGGTTATTGAAAATTGTTTGGAGGTGTATTGGAGTATTTGTTAGATTAGAAATGTTTTGATTGAAGATCATATATTTAGGTTCCTCAACTGGCACCAATTTGGGTGAAGGAAAATTAGTATATGATTATTTCTTCTCTGGGTGGCTTTAGTTGGTTCAAACTAGTATTAGAAAGATATAAATAAATAGGCCATAATCCAGGATCTTTGTCCAAGTATAAAAGTGAGACCGTTGGTCAAAATATAAGGCTGAAAAACAAGTACATTACAAAACCCAGCCAGCTTAAGAAGTACTTTAGTTCTAAAGTGAACCTGACAATCGATACATCATCTAAATCATTTGGTTCAATAGACTCTTTCTCAATGAGCAATATTCTGAGTTCGAAGAGATGAGTTAAGGAGAATGCAATTATGAATTTTTTAGACAAGGAGCATGTCTATCAAATCTCTATCAAAGAAATCTTGCATATGACATATAAAATAGGATTAAAGCAAGAAAGCATTAATAAGCAGCCAAACGATTCTTTACCCTCACTCTTGTCAAGAAAGAAAATATAAAATAAACATCAACTTGTTACCACCACTACCTTCAAAGCTCTTTGTCATTTTATGAAGAAATCATCCTGTTGTCCATAACCTGAACAAAGAGTTAAGTACACTAATTCTGGTAAACTTCAATGTAAAAATGTTCTAAATTCTCAAAATTTGTAGGCACCAAACCTTGAACTCTGTTCCTAAGTAAAATTCAGAAAGACAGCCATTTAATTAGAGGTTGTTGTAAACCTTAATCTGTGATTTTCTAAATAGCCAATATTTTGCATTAAATTATGCTGGTTTGTGTAATCTTTGGTAAAACTGGGTCAGATAACTAATCTCACTTTCTCTAAAAGTGCTTGCTTACTATATACTTCCAATATTCATTTAATAATTTGTTATATTTATAATAAATCGCATGGTTCAATAAACTTGACTTTTGCTGGGGTTTTGGGGTTTTGGGGTTTTGGGG